GAATAACAAGAAAAAATACTTTAAAAAAAAAAAAAAAAACGGCAGACCTGGATGAAGACAAAAGGAAAGATTCATAATAAAGAAATTTTATAGTTTTTTGTAAAAATCAGAATTTTGTGAATTATTATTTTCTGCTCTTTGTCTGTACATTTGACAACTTTGCTGCCTTGTTCAAAAAATAACAGCAGACCTGGGTGAAGACAAAAGGAAATATTCATAGTCAGGGAGTTGGATACAAGTCAGAAACTATGCAATGTTTGAGTGACTAAATATTCATAAAAAAATCCATAATTCATAAAACAAATGTTCAGATTAATTTGTGAGTAATCACAGTATTTACTAAAGTCTATCCTCTAATATAAAAACAAGATAATTGAGCATTGTTCCCTTGCAACTGTTCCTCATCTACGTTTTATCATCACCCCAAAACAAGGATTGGAGAACAGGAGGCCATAAAGCCAAGGGTCAACCACAGTGACTAAAGATGAGCATTAACATATACCGTGGATGCATTCCTTTGCAAAAAAAGGGAAGATGATGGATAAAAATCACTGCCCTTACTTTACACATTCAGCAGTTAGCTAAAGTAACATAGTATTACTATATACTGAATACAGAAGGAAACTATACAACTGTACCATAAACAATACAAAATGGTTGTGGCTAGGTTGAGGCTGGTATCTCGAATTTCCAGTTTTCTATTTTACATATTAAGACAGCCCCCATCACATCTGGTTTTGGACCTTTACAATGTTATTAAAGCACCCCTAACCCATAAAAACATTGTATACAGCCAAGTTAGTACTTATAGTACTCATATCTGGTCATATATACTGTACAGCAAACATTTTTTATCTCAAATCTTTTATCTTCAACAAAAAATTTTCTGGTCATGATTTTGATGGATCTCCATGAGAAAAAAAGTGAATTTAAGAACTAATCTAACTTTTCTAATTCTTAGCTGCCATTTAGAAAAAAAAAATACATATTTTCATACCAAAAAGGACAGTTTAAGGAGTGTCCCACATCAAATGACTCCTTTGTAGCAACTAAGAGACAATACTAAGGAAACTGTTGTCATAATGAAATCATTCAGAAGGCAGATCTTTTTTTCTCATTATTTGCAAAGAATGCCTCTTTTCTAACACATCATAGGTCCTGTGATCTCAAAAAAAAAAAAAAAAAAAAAAAAAAAAAAAAATTCAGTCTCTTAAGAAGCTATTAACTTATTTTACCCCCTTTAAGCAGGAACCAATATGATCGCATTCAGATCAGCGGAGTAACAGATCAGCGGATCAAATTTGGCAACCCACTTGAAAGCTTGCTGCTTAATTTCCAATTGGACTCTGAACAGATTCCCCATAAGGATTATGCAATAAGCATCCAAGTGGGTCGGCCACATTTGATCCACAGATCTGTTAGTCCGCTGTTCTAAATGTGAACTAAAATACCTTTATCACCACCAGTCAATAGATTTACATTTCTGTATTGTCTTATATCGTGAAATGTAGTTTTCCTTTTCTTTTCCTGTTATAAAATACAGATCCTTTTTTCCTATCATACATATAAAAATACTTTGTGTTAGCTCCTTGTGCAGTAATATTTCAAATGCTGTTCATATATATATTCAGAAATTATATCAACACACTGAACTTTCCAATATTTTGATCCCTTCTTTGTGTTTTCAATAGGGAGTAATCGCATGTGTGCGTCTTCCATTTTGCTCCATATAAACCATATATTTACACCCCATTTCCATAGATTTTTAGATCAATCTATCCCTGTGGGGAGTCTCACTAGATTACTGTCAGCTTGACCGGCTTAAGCGTCTGTCCCGCCTACTAAAAGCTGTAAGGGGGTAATTAACTATGGTGCCCGCTCGGCTGACTGCAATTTAGCGTGAACCCCCAGGGAGTTAGGTCGATCTAAATCTTAATCTTTAGATCAATCTAAATCTCTGGGAAAGCACCCTAAATCAATTAAATCTCACCTGTTCATTTAACTTTCTTTCCTACACAAATAAATACTGTGTTTTTCAAGCACCCATACTGGAAGCTTTTAATAATTGTGCATAAAATCCTTTTTTCTTGTGCATAGTGGATCACTGCAGCTGTATCAGTTCACCTAAAACTACAGATTCATATTCCTGCTGATAATACGCTCCATGACTGGGGTGAACCTCATTATTCTTCCACTTGTTTTATACTATATTTTCAGTAGCCCAGCTCTTCCATCTGTCTGTCTTTAAAAACAATATACAGTTTTTTGAACGCATTTTCACTTGCTTGTGCTTTTGAAACCAACACTTGTCTTGTTGGTTCTTCAAAACTTTCCAATTTTGCACAGAAAAAAATAGGAATTTTAAAATTGCAACTTGATCAGAACAGTTACATATTCATGGAGTTTAAAATCATTTAGTAAATTTGTCGAAAAGAAAAAAACTAAAAGGAATAGTTCTGAAATCAAAGTGATGGCTAAATAATTCAATATCCTAGCACATAAAAAATACAAAATAGTCCAAATATGCACCCAAACCAACACATTAATAAAAAATAATAATCATAAATCAATAAAAACAAATTAAGTAAAAAAAATCTTCAAATGTGTTTCTTTGTTCTAACCAAAAATATATATCTATCTATATCACTTTTACCAACGACAATAATTCCTGTATCCCTCACAAGATTAGAATCAAAATCTCATTTCTATGATGAACAACCGCCATTAGCTATCTGTCTCAATATCATGCTCGTGGGGCCAGACGGAATTGTGAAAAAGAGTGGTAAGAGATTTGATTTTCCAAGTGTGAATGCCAGCCATCTTCTTGAAGCTCGTCTTGAGGACGTCCGTGTTGTTTGGCTGGCCGTTGGTTCCCAAATTGCTCTCTAGTTCCAACAACTGCAGGTGAAGGTTCAGAAATATTGGTTCACCATTACTTTCTTCAATAGCTACAGGTAAGATATTCATGCCCCTAAAACAATTAAAGTATTAAGAATATATCATATCATATAATATTACATGAATGAAATGCTTTTTTTTTTGTAAGTACTCATATATGCAACAGATAAATATTTGGTAAATATTTGAAATCAGTTTGTGTATTAAACACTTTTTTATGTGTTCAGAACGAATCATCCCTATCATTTGTGACTTCTGCTGCAGCTAGTATGTGTCTAAGAAATGTCTAATGCTCAAACCACACGATTTCAAAGAACATTGTCAGGTATTTTATTCTTACATGTAGGTTTTTTTCCTGTTCATACCAGCAGAGTAAATCTCTGGTGCAGCCAAAGCCCTGCTCACTTGCATCAGCTTGTTGTTCATTTGCCTCAGTTCCAACGAACTGCAAACAAAAATTGGAAAAGATTTTTTACCAAATAAAAAAATACAAATTAACTAAAGATATTCAAGAGGCTGATCATGTACCATAGTCACGGAAAAGATGTTATTTTTTAAAAAATTATATATATTTATTTATTATAAATTTCATCAAAATCCATGGAGGAACTTTTTTGATGACTATAATAAATGCCTAATGTTTACACAATTAGCAGTTCACTTACCTTAGTGATGTGATATTTTTAGTTTGCTTTTGAAACAGAGCCACTGCTTTGGAGAGATCGCCTATGGCTTTGTTAAAATGATCTGAAAAAAAAAAAAAAGAAAAGATGACAATAAATTGTATTCAAGGAAGGGAAGAGAGCATGTTAAAATGTTAAAAAGGAGACCAACCCTCTCCATCTCCTCAATTTTACTGGTTTTGTGTAATTTCTTATAAAATCCAGCAACTTTCTTAGTTGTCTTTCACAGGTTAAAAAGGCCAAATATGTATAAATATATATAAGCATCAAGAGGACTAGGCATTCGGAGAATAAAATGCTGACTTTAGTCAGCTGTAGACGGATATTGCAAATCCATCCATAGATTCACTGTGCCTTGATTCTACTTCATTTTCACTTACTCATGGCTTCCATTAAGTCCTTTGTCAATGTCTCCTTGTGCATAAGAACTGTAGTGTTATACGCCGTCCACATGGCATCAACAAAATCTGTCAAATCAAAGGGAAGAAGAGCAGAATCAACCAGACGGAGAACCAGATCAGCCGTCACTGCAGCAATGGCTTTGTGGAGCGTAAAGTTTCTGTCTATAAAAGTATGGAGGTACTCAAACCTGTCTAAATATGTTTGGAAGACTGGGAAATTCTTGATCTTCATCTCCTGTAAAAAAGAACAGTTCTCAGCACTTAAGATAAATAAACTACATCTCAGACTCTTTTCACACTGAGCAGTATACTTCTGAGATACAACCTGTATCAGTATACTCTGAGAGGCCCCTCACAAGTTCTCTACAAGTTTGTTTCCTGTTATTTAGTTAATAATGTCGAGCACGTAGGCTCCATATATGGCTATGGGGAAGGACAATTTTCCATGCTTTGCACTAAAAAAATAATAAAATAAAATAAAATAAAAAAGGCTGTGGGAAAGAGCAATTTTTACATGCTTTGTCCTAAAAAAAAAAAAAAACCTAGATATTAAAATGCTAATAAAATCCCCACAGATTGAAAACTAATAAGATGGCCACAAACTCACTCCACCTACCTGTGGGTATGTATAACCCAGTTGTAACGAGGGAGCTCCTACGCCCATCTCAAACCCTGTACAGTCAGTACAAGACAGTAACACAGAACTCGCCGTGTAGGGGTAGAGTCTGGAAATAAAAACAATAGTAACTATATTATTATTAATCATAACAAATCTGTACAAGACAGTAACACAGAACTTGCTGTGTAGGGGTGGAGTCTGGAAATAAAAACAATTGTAACTATAATAATAATAATAATAAAAATTATAATAATAATAATAATTACAAATCTGGCGACCAAAAAGGGTTAGATAGATGTGAAGAGAAAATGGCACATTGTGTTGAATTAAAAATAATAACAATCAAAAGAAAAAAAAAACTCACCCAGGCTCCATTTTCTTGCTGTCCTTCCTCCACTGGTCAAACACACTGGTTTTATCATGGTCTGGACTGGGGACCACCCTAGTGGCTGCATGGAGGACCTCCGTCAACAGGGGATGACCAGTGGCAGTGAATATATTGCCTGGAGATAATTATAATAATAATAATAATAATAATAATAATAATAATTAATTTTAATATGGCACATCCAATAAAATCTCAATGCACCATTCAAAAATTAGAAAGATTTTAACAAGCTAAATTTTTTTTTTTAATTTTGACTGGATGACTCGGATTTTTTTAAAGCCATACATAATTAAAATATAGATTTTTCATACACAAAAAAGTGCAATATTCTTATATACAATAACCCTTTAGTAAACTGAGTTTAGTATCACTGTGTGGTCTACTTTCAGAAACTTAAAGGCAGTTCTTTTCTCTATTTTTTCCATCTGTCATACAATCATTCAAAGACTTAAATCATAACATTTAACTTGCCTCTTATCACAGCATCCAAATTAATGTAGGCCACTGTACTGGTTGATAATTCTAATTTATATTCCTGCATGAAGAAAAAGAAGACAAAACTCTCATGAATTAATTTCACCAATGACACTTAACTTTTTTATTTTAGAGTCATTCTCTTATTATTAAATTATTTTATTATTAAATATATCCAAGTTACTCTATCTGCATTTAAAAATGCAGATAGAGTAACATGGATATCTTTTATCACATAAAAAGCTTCACTTTAACAGCTCCAAAATGGCTTGAATATTATAATTCACTAAACATTATTAGAAAGGATACATTGGCGATAAATTGCTGACATTTCCAGAAAAAATCATATTTCTAGATCATTTCGCTTTGCTACAATGTCTAATTTGCACAATACTGAAATGAACTAGTCTAATAAATTTTACTGTAAATGTGAGTATTTTATTTCTACGAATAAAAAATAATTCACTGCAATCTTCCATAATTCCTTTCCCCTCACCTCAATCCATTCTGTAGACCCAATGGCGCCAAATTCCGTTGCATCCCAAATGGCAAAAATAAGACTCCTTCTCGGCTTCCAGCCACTGTGGGCGAGTTCCCTGAACTTTTGAGCCAGCTCCATGGCGATACCCAGCCCTGAACCCCGCGTAATTGAACCTTCCACCAGCGAGTCGTGGTGAGCGCCAATTATAACGTAGCGATCTGGAATGAAATTCAGACACCAATATTTTTTGTTTAATTAATGTTACAGGGAGATATGGAGTGCAGAAAAATGTATGGTGTAGCAGCAACAAGAACCATGACTGTACAGTTTGATTTAAAACTTGTTTAGCCCGCTGGCCCATAAAGATGCATTTAAAGCCCAACTATGCCACTAAACTCAATAAATACCACCATATAGCTTCAAATAGTATAACTTAGAGAAATGCCAAGGGATATTGTTTCATATTTCCAGATAAGTAGACCAAATATTTTAAGAAGGTCCAGTTTTAAAGCTCTTTTATGGCTGATCGAGTGATTTATTTGATGTATCCCTTGGCATGTCAACTTAATTTTAGTAACTAGCAGAAGAGCATTACTATGACTCTTCGCTCAGTTCAAACTTAAGGACAGCAGAGCTAAGGTTTCAACTGGTCAGTAATTGAACAAAATCGTTAATTTTTGCAGAATGTCTAAAATCTGAAAATGATAACGAAGTAAATCAATGGTCCAAAACAGTTCACAGGTCAAAACATTGTTTCTAATTTTTTTCCTGACGAAACATGACATCAGGAAATAAAGAGGTCGAAATTCTGTGTGATCACAATTTATGAAAATTATTGATATTAAAGCAACAGATGGTTCCATTTCGATTGCAAACATGTTTTCCTGAAGCTTGTTTCCAAACAGAGGCTCTATACGGAGAGGTACACACCAGGTTCTTCCCTCCCCACAATGACACCAAGGACATTCTTGATCATTTTCACCACTTCCTCATTGAAGGTTGTCAAGTTTAGCTTCCTGGAATAATGGACAAAAATTATTAAGAATTATTTAGAAATTAATGTTTTCCAAAATAAATAAAATCACACCATCACTATTCTGTAGTTTACTCTCACTTCCGCTGTATTCATACAAGTTGTACTCAGTTTAAAAATAGAGATCTAATTGACCTAAGAAGAAGACGAGATTAAATCAAAACCCCAGCCTACTTTTTCTCCCTTTCTTCAACAATTTGGCTGGCTGCTGGCTGCAGTCTAAACTAGTTCAGTTGTTAACGTGACTGAAGCCAGTCAATATTCAAAGGTATCTACTCACTGGCTGTTCTTTAGCTTGGAGAGATTATAACTTGTGTCTAGAGTTCCTCGCCATCCATCTGGGGGCACCCCCTCTGTTAGCTGCCTTTAAATGGGAGAATATAATATAATAATACAAATGTATGTCTTCTGTCTCAAGTTCCTGTTGACTCAAATATTCTAATGAACAATATTACTAATTAAAAAAAACTTTTAAAGTCAAATTTTTAGCTTTTACAATACATATTGTATTTACCCCATCTCATAAAGAGAAAAAAGATTACTAAATCACTAAAAATAGAAATCATTATCAAAATGAGTTTCTTCACCGTTTCTAAAACCTAACATACCGCAGGAGATAGTCAGCATCCTGATAGTTGATTGGCTGGAGTGGAATGTCTGGGTAAAATTCGGCCACCTGGTCAAATGCTGTTGGGCTCTTTTTGTTATCTTCTTGTACTAGCATATAATCTACAAATGATGAAAGAGGAAATATTTTCAGAGCTTCTGTGGGATTTTGACCATTATTCTTATCATAAGGTTTTTGCTCTTCTTCACAAGTTTGTTTTTAAGCTATACAAAAGATGCAGAAAATACTTTTGAGTGTTTCCATGCATAAGTTCACAATTACTATACTTGAATATAATGCTAGAATTCAATACATCAAATTCTTGCAGTTTTGCTTTAAAATTTGAATCAATGAATGTTAGTTTACCTTACCTTTTGCAGGCTCAAACGGAGTATCTAAATCACCAACAGTGAAAGACAGCGTTCTAAATTGGGTCACGTTGCCAGGCAACCACCAAGTGTCAGGGTACAATTTACTGTGACCCCCGTAGTTGAAATCTTGAGGATCCGCAAAGAAGAGAATTCCTGACACTTTCTTACCCTGTAAAGAATTATGCTGAAAAAAGACGAGAAAAGTTTTTATTTTTTCAGAAGCTAAAATTTAAAGAAATTTCAGTTTCTTAAAAATCTGTTCATGTATGATCCTAGTTTTTGGGTTATATATTTTCTTTGCAGTTGAAATTTGTGGAGATTGTGTTCTTCAACAAAAGGAATATGAAGACATTAAAGTTTGGGTTGATGTTGGCTTCGGGTATCATAATAAAATTTAAAAAGATGACTTCAGAAATTGGTGACTCCTAAAAACTAACTGTTATTACTAAATGGTGCTGGCAACCCTTCCTTTAGAAATTCACCCACTATTTTCCCATCATAATCAATTAATCAAAATCTGTATAAAGTAATTTGAATTCAATTAAGTTATGAGCAGTAACTTACCAATTTTCTCCAGTCAATAAATGGGCTGCCATCTTTGTATCGAATCAATAAAATATTTCCTGTCAGGCTTATATTTTTGCTTTCCAGAACTTGAAAATCTTCCGGGCGTCCATAATTGACATACACAAGGTCACCCTGATCATATAAGACAGAAGCAAAAAAAATTCTCAATCCATCTGATAAATCTAGCTAAATGGTTTTGGGTAAGATATGGCTTAATTTTCAGCGGAATGTTTCTGCAGATTCCTAGATAACAGTCAATGCAGTGTTTTAAATTCATTTTTTCAGTCTTTTCCCATTCATACAAAAAAATCATAATGAGGTTAAATATAACAGATACTAAAAGAAAAATGATGTTTGTGTGGATTTTGATATTACTTTTAGGGGGTCGATAAAAACACAGAGATGGAGAAATAAGCCAACAATGGCACACTTCTTGCCATATATTTTCCTAGTCCAACTTCAAAATTGAAAACCAGACTTCACAAGGTACTTTCACAAGATCTTTACCAACGAAGGCAAAATTTTCACAAAGTGAGGTAAAAGAATCCTCATAATGTGAGGCAAATCCTCAGTAGGTGAGACAAAATCTTCACTAACTGAAGAAGTGTGCCCAAAAGGAACACCAAAATCCTCAAAAAAATGAGGCAAAACACTGGCCATGCAAGACAAAACCCACACCAGGTGAGGCAAACTTTTCCTTACCTGTGCTGTTCCTGCAGGTGAATATGGGATGTAGTTTAAGGTGAGAGAGGTGTCTTGGTTACCACTGCTGTGGTCAGACACTGGGGTGTTATAAGACGTCTTACAGGTGTATACTACTGAAGAAGAAGAGTTGATCAATTGCACCAGGTTTGATGGATCGCTGGGCTCCCGCTGGCTGAAATTTGAAAAAAAAAAAAAAAAAAGGTTGGTCATTTTCACTAAGTTGACAGAAAGTGTGATTATTTCAATGGTGATTTTCACTTCTGCTCTCAGTTATGACAATAGCCTGTTTTGGCACATGTACGCCAAGTAAATTGAATTTTGGACCAATAATTTGCAAAATATATAATAAGACCACTATATCAAAGTCAACCTTACACTGTCAGCTAAATTCAGCATTCTACACTAGAGAAAAAAAAAAACACTTTCGGACTTAAAACGCTGGCCCTATGCCTTATTCTTGAAAAACTGAACCTGTGCCGATAAAAATTTGTATAGTCACCGTACACCATTTCTGCTTTGGGCCTGTAAATCTTGGTCGCTGGTGTCCCAAATGGGCATTAGGATAAAGAGACATTGTTTTAGTCACAGATTTGTTTTCATGAAACAGGCTCCACCAGAAAACCTCTACTCACATCCCAGGATACGACAGTCTCACTCTGTATGTGGCGTTATACACGTAGTCCATCTGCCAGCTGCGGAACTGTCCTCTCACATCCCCCGCTTTCTTCAGACTGCCTTTGGTGCCGGCCATATCTAGGGTACTGGTAAACTTCCTAAAATTTTAACAGTACCATGGGATTGCACCAAACTTATCAAATCATATCTTTCTCAATCATTTACACACACACACACGCACATGCACACACACTTAAATGATTGAGAAAGATATGGTTTGATAAGTTTGGTGCAAAACAATTATGAGCAATTTTTTGGGTTGTACTGGATGTTTTTAACAAGTCACATGATCTAGTTTCCAATGTAGATGGCGCCCTCTCTTGGAATGAAAATTGAACGCCCCCCCACACGCGCACACACACACACACACAAACACACAAGGGGATAAGCTGGCTATCATCGACATGATCAAAACAGTCAATATTGTTTAAATATTAATAACAAAACATTTTTCTTGGGAATTTTATAACTTGTGTTGGTCAAATTCAATGAGTTATTACAGTTATGTAAGTGTCCATAGATAATACAGTGTTAGATACATACTTAACAAATTCTTTGATATTCTCAGCATCTAAGAAGCCTAGTAGTTTTTTACTTGTGTAGGGGCTGTAATCTTTTATCTGAAAATAATAATAATAATAATAATAATAATAATAATAATAAGTATGAAAACAATCAGTTCTTCAAGAGAATACACATAATTCTTGTTACTTTTTCTTCAGTACAACAACATTTGGTACAATACTAGTAATCAAATTTGGCACACAAATTGTTCTAGAGATTAAAACAGTGAAATCCTCGTGATCTGTCACTGGGTACACACACACAGTTCTAATTTCCAAGTAAAATGTCTTTTAGTAGATGCTAATTCTGTGGCAATAACATAATGAGGATCTCACCCCAGACCCAAGAAACATGCCGATAAATCCCAGCTTTTTAGTTTGAATAAAAGTTATACATGTCAAAAAAAATTCAGACTGAAGATGTTTCAGTAGTATAAAATATTTCTATTTATCAAGTATTTAAAGTGACTTATTAGACTTTACTAGTATTAATTTTTATATTCATTACTTATCACCGTTTGCCTACAGTAGTCTTGTACACATAGGAACACTTTAAAAATAAGCAAGAAAACTTGTTTTTGTTATCCTAAGATCTTTGTATGTACAATCTTCAATTTCCTGAAATAAATTTATTCATCATTCACTCAAAGAAAGCATCCTGACCAAACCTGTGTTGTGCAATTTCCTCCATTTTGTAGCATGATCTTCTGGGTAATTTTGGGGTGCACCTCGCGCCTGATGACGTAGCCCAGAATTAACCCCACGAACACAGTGACCACCAGGAGCAGCACCCGCACCACGCACCCCTTCTTGTTACTAAGACAACCTGGAAAACAGTTGGGAAATACAGTACTAATAATAATAATAATAATAATAATAATAATAATAATAATATCAGTAATGAAGACGTCTTTATTAACTGCTTTTTATACTCTCACTGCTGTGTAATGGTGCTGTCACACCTAACATAAGTGGTACACGTAAGTATAATATGCAATATCTATTTTAGAACTGTAAGGGTGTGAAATCACCATTTTCAGTGTATTAAAATGAAGACACAAGCAGCAATGAAATTGCTTTTAAACATCCTCAAAACATTTTATCTCCCTCAGGATAGGCAAGTGTATGTCAACGTTTGCCTGTGTATTCGAGATGTGTACAGTGTAAGTCTAACAAAACCCTTGTATTGTCTATGTATGGGCAATTTTTTTTTCATATGTTAGCGCTTTAAATCTGGTGTGACTTTGCCTTAAAATATAAAGACTTCCCTTAAAATGTAAAGATTCTATTAATTCTACATGTACCATGACCTCAAGTGCCATGACAATGACAGTGCAACATAACATTTAATACCGCGACATATAATGTCAATTTAACAGGACTCACTGAAAATATTAATTAAAAGAGCACCTGTCAATCCAAATAGAATTTCACATTCCTCTATATATATACTGAGTCTAATACAATGTCACATGACATGATACCTGTGCGTTGTGGTTTTTTCGGCACCTCTCCATCCTGTTTTGTGCTAAGCTGACTGTAGTCTATAGTCACTTTGTCTGATGCCCCATCCCATGCAGGCATTATTCTGAAATTAAATAAAGAGGGCATTGTCTTGATCCAAGATTTTGCTTAAGGAGAGCGAGAGAGAGAGAGAATTTTTTCCTCCATTTACTCTGCAAAAAATACCTTGAGTCAACATTATGCATTCATGTATCACTAACAAAATGAGAGAGAGACAGACAGAGAAACTGTACAAGTGTGATTTTTTTCCTCCATTTACTCTGCAAAAAAGATCTTCTGAATCAACATTACGCAATTATGTATCATTGACTAGATGAGAGAGAGAGAGAGAGAGAGAGTACAAGGATTTTTTCCTCCATTTTCTCTGCAAAATAGACCTTATGAATCAACATAATGCATTTATGTATCATTAACTAAATGACTTTGAGAGAAATTATTATTCCATTTCATTGTGCTGTGAAATAGCTACTTTAGCTAGCAAAGAGCCTATTTCTCGCAAATGGCCTTTTAGCAGCCAAACAAATGACTGAAGCATCAGATATCGGTCGCAGCGAAGTTAATCGTACTCATATCAATCATTCAGCTGAAGACCGTTTTGATTGATCCTAAAAAATTCTTTTGAAATGAATGTGGAAATATAAATATAAAAGCTTTCTTAAATGGCCATGTGTCAGTCAATCCATTCACATTTTATCAAAATTTGTCCTTTATCTTTTGAATGGAATCTTGAATTACTGGCTTCAGCTAACTTATCATCAAGAATTAAAGTGACAGTTTTGATTCATCCAGTTTATATTATACTAGCTAAAGATAATGAAAAACAAAGGTCAGTAATATATAAATATCATGTTAATAATTAATGAAAATCTAATATGATCTGCCTCCTTTTATCAAAACAGCCCATGCAGGCATTTTTGTAAGGACAGCCACAATTTCAACTGTACTATGAACACAAACCCGATGATCACATTTACACAGAATCAAAAATTAAACCTTCACACATACTCACACCCACGGCAACTAATAAACTTCTATATCCATTATCCCTGCTAACTATTTACTAGTACTAATATTTGAATGGTGATGTCAGTTGCCCTTGACTAAATCAGATCTAAGTTGATTCTGCAGTGAACGCAGCCATAATGAAATGAATGTTGCCAGACTCCTCTGTGAAGTCAGATTGATCTTAAATTAATAAACAAAAGCAGATAATGCAAAACTAATAAACAATTCCCTGGTCAAATGACTACAGTTATTTTTATCTGCATGCATGCACGGGTGATAAGGTACAAGCTGAAATGATTGTAGTCATATGAAATGGCATACTTTCAATAAAATTGAAAAAAAAAATTATAAATCATTTTCAAGAAACTTTTGTTAGTGATGTACCTGAAATGAAGTACTGTAATTCAGCAGTCCCAATAAAAGTAGCTCACCTCATCTCGAAAAAAGAATTATTTCGTAAGGTTACCTTGAAATGATACATAGTCATATACATCCTTGGGGGGAAAAGATATCGGGAATAGCCCAAGTTTGAGATGTTTAGTTATTGCTACTTCTGCTATCAATTTTGACTAATATTTTTTAAAATATTGTATACTTATTTCTGACCACCATTAATGAAGTAGGTTAAACTACTGTTACCTTAGCATTAGATAAACAAATTGTAAGCCTACTAGTTGCAAAATTGCATGAACTTGATATTACTTCGCAACCAAAAGCAAATAAAAATAGAAGGCAAAATGAATTTCATTTCACAATTGTGCACACAATATGGAGTAATCACAGAAAATCCAAAGACAGACCCATGCACGTTGCCTCAAACATAATATCAAGTTTAACATCTTCTGATTGTCCACAATGTCAATGTATACTTGTATGTCCTACATGTATGTGACTGATTTGGTTTAAGATGTAAAATGGAATTTAAAAAGGAGACTGATCTTTTTAAAAGGTAGTTCATGATAGCTCTTCTTAAACTTTATATGTACTAGTACATCACTGAATTACTTACTACAGTACATGTAGTATCAGATCTGGACATCATCACCTGACTCACCGACTGCAAATCTTACGAAATAAATAAAAAATATAAATATTCATACCTACTATATCCAGAAAGTCTTCTTATATTGTTCATTTGGCAAGGTATCTAAGACAATATAAGCTACTTCTTTTCCACTGTCCTCCTATCCTCATATATCAAGGTCAACTGAAATCTTCTCGATGAAATGAAATTATTGACTTTTGTACACTCCCACTTTCAAAATCAAGTCCTTGTGGCATTCATCTGGCAAGGTAGCTCAGAACAAGAAAACAGACTTATTTTTCATCGGCAAATCCTTAGAGAGAGACTAGCGACTTTTCTTTCCTCAAATCCCAAGCCACTAGCTTCACCTTGTTTACTTGATGAAATGAAATTATGGAGGTTTTCCACTCCTAGTTTCAAAACCAAATGCTTACTAGTTCTATCTTCATCTGGCAAATGTATCTTAGAACAAGAAAAAAGTCACTTATTCTTCACCAACAAATTCTCAGACAGAGAGAACAGTTCTATGAATGATTGTTGTGGCTTTATCTATCCTCAACCTGCCAACAAAAAAGATAACCCAGTTCACTTCTCAAATCTCCTTGATGAAATTATCGAGCTTTTTGCACTCTCCTATTTCCAAAATCAAAGTGAATATCTCAAAAGTCTGCTAATCTTATTAGGCCACAGCCTAGCCACAAGCCCTAGAACAATGCTAAGAGAGTTACAGTGAAAGAAAACAAGTCAATCAATATGTCCAATCCCCAAGAGGAATTTATCTACTATTATTTTAGTAATCAAATATGACTTTTGTTTCTTCGCAGGCTAAAGACTTTGAAAGATATGGCTTACAGATCTTTTGCAAAGGGAATTTTTTTCAACGAGCTGATAGGAAGGATGTTGGTTTCAGCAGACACAGACACACACGCTCAAAGAGACAGACTTTCCTCTTTCTCTCCTTGGACATAATAACGATTCATTATTATGTCCAAGGTCAGAGTCACTTACATGCCCCCCCTCTCTCTCTCTCTCTCTCTCTCTCTCACACACACCTACACCCCATTCTCATAGATTAGATCGACCTACATTGGATCGACCTAACTCCCTGGGGGTTCACGCTAAATAGCTGTCAGCCGGACAGACACGAAAGTTAATTACCCCTTACAGCTTGTAGTAGGCGGGGACGGACACTTAAGGCAGATTATCTGACAGTAATCTAGTGAGACTCCCCGCGGTGATAGATAGATCTAAAAGTTGTGAGAACAGAGCCCTAGTGTACCATAACTATTGTCCTTACTGTTTAATTAATTTTTTTGCACTTCTGACTTCATATTCACTTTTTTAACAAAAAATTATAGTTTTCCAGGCAAATTGTACGTTTGGATCAATATTTAAAAAATCCATTTTTTCCATGAAAGCATACAACTGTTGTTCTTTCTGTTACAATCATGGATGTAGGCCACAATCAAATGAAAAATTTGAATGCATTTTTCACTTCTTCATTTTGCTTATTTCAGAGGGTGAAGGATGAAAAAGTTCAAAGATGACCAAGCTACTGTAGTTAAGTCTGTGTTCACTTTTGATTAAAATAAGGTTTGATTAAACCTTTGATTAAAATAAGGTTTAAAATAACAAGGCAGCTCACAGTCAGATGTCACCGTTTACTGTATTTCATTAATGAAACGTCTGTGATTTAGCTGGTGTGAAATAAGAACTTTTTCAATTTCAAGTTAAGATAAATGCCCAATTGCAGATTTTTATCCAGCTTTCCCAAATGGAATTTGCACATATGAAAAGTGAATATGAAAGTTTTAAATTTTAAAACGAAGAATGCAGCAAACCTTGGAAGTACTACTCAGTGTACCATCATCACGACGCTGAACAAACATGTTCTACCTATCCATGCTTGGACTATCATAATAGCTTTTTGCCATTTGTCATGAAGAAAAATCAATGAACTCTCGACAAGCTGCTTCAAGCCATGTTTGCCTTTCCCAGGAGGTTTGTGAAAAATGATTAACTTGATTAGACTTTTCAAGAGGAATTTCACCAGTACTTTCGCATTTATTTAATGAAAGAAAAAAAATTTGCATGCTAAATTTTAACATTATGTTCTCAATATGCCTGATTCCGATCTGTTAGTGTTTTGTGCATATTAGCTACGCTGGTGCTCTGACAAAGTATAATATATCTGATGTGTATTCTACTGATAACTTCCAAATAAAATCAAATTTCATTCACAGATATTTTTAAAAGGCAATCAGCTTTATTGTCTGACATGCCTTCTTGAGCAGCTAGGAGGTTATTAACTATCGTGTGCTGATCGCCCTGATTCTACTGACAGCATTTTAGCCAGTTGGACCAACCCAGCTAGTACAATGTGTGAATCTGAGGGTGCTTTCCGAGAGATTTAGATCAATCTAAAGATTAAGTTTTAGATCGACCTAACTCCCTGGGGGTTCACACTATATAGCTGTCAGCCGGGCAGACACGAAAGTTAATTACCCCCTTACAGCTTGTAGTAGGTGGGACGGACATTTAAGCCGGATTATCTGACAGTAATCTAGTGAGACTCCCCGCAGGGATAGATCGATCTAAAAACCTATGGAAATGGGGTGTAATTGTGTCCATATTTTGGCATACATGTACATATGCCCAGTGCCTATTTTGGTAGGGCACATGCACTAGCACTGTTTGTAATTAAACATATGTCCTATATCCAGAGGTGTAGATGTTATATGACAGATCAGCCTTTATGCTATTTGATTACTAGTATAAATACATCTGCAAACATTCATAAATCTGCAAGTCTATCTCCATAACTATATATTATTAACACTGTGGGCCCTGTGGCCATTAATTCATGAATAAAGACTACACATACAATGACCTGAAGTTGACAAAAAGTACTGCATCTCTGAGTTGGCAACTGATGTTGTGGACGTGATGCATCATGCACCAGATGGTCGTGTAATGTGACAAACTTGGAAGAAAATATGTGGCCATTAATATTGTTAAATATATATATGTAAACATGACGTGATTTCTCCGCTCTGAAAGCAAATACAGTAATATTGTTGACTGCTTTGAAATGAATGTGGCAGGGAACTTTTTTGAGAAAAAACATTTATCGAAAATTGATCTTAAATAATGCCAAAAATGTATCACAGCTATGTACTGTATACAGCAAACTCCAAGACCCTATTTCAATCATGCATCAACAGACCTTAAAGTGACAACGAAGGGCCGCAAGAAATTTACTGTCTGCATGTGTTTAAAGAACGCCTCTTTGCTTGTCATATCTGTTTCTACAAAAACATTCCCTCAATCCAGCCAAGAATACTGAGTATACTGTATACTACTGTTAGTATCTGTAGACAGGGACATATAGACTGCAATGAGAAAGTCTCAAATTATGGTGTGGAGTTCAGACGTTTCCTCCCCCCTTTCTCAGCTACTTGCCATTTACAAACTGCAGGGAAAATAATTTTAATTGAAACAAATACGGGAACATAACACTAAGAATGTGCAACCCCCTCCCTCCCGCGCTACCCCAGTAAATACATGTATTAGCATTCACAGTGACTTGACTAGTAACTTTCTTTGGGAATATCGCTACTACAATAGGAAAATACAATAATACCATCGACCAATGATGCAATAAACACTTAAACCACATTTATTTATGTTTTTAATGATCTAAAAACCCTTCGGAATATCAAAATAAACACAGATCGAATGCAGTTCAGAGTGAGGATTATAAGAGACCGAAAACATTCTTTCTATGAAAATAATATTAAATCAAAATGATTTTAAGAACATAGGGTAAATCTAGTCCACTTTCCAATGTTTATACTTACAAGTTGTGCACTTTCTGAGAGATATAGGTCAAGAGCAGGTAAGGACTAAACCTGTAGGTGCATTGACACCTGCTGTTTTCCGCTGATACGCCTCTATTTGAAAACAATGTTTGGGTTTACCCTATACTGAATACAAGCACTCAAAAATAAATTGCTGTATCGAAAACGAGACAACTTTAAGGAGAGTAAGATTGTAACGGGAAATGTGATTGGAGATTCCCAATACCCCGGATGTTCGGCCATTTTGGACTTGAGAAAGTGAAGCTTGCCACTTCCTTGTATTTCACTAAGTACCAAAAACAGCCTAAAAATGGTATGTATGCCTAATGAAGGAAACAAGTATCAGTGAACTGACTAATCAGATTGATAAAATTAGCAGAACGTTTTGCTGGAGTCGTTAGATGTGTGTCATTCTCCCTTTATTTGTTCAGAAGCCCCTCCTCCCGGAGAGGCCGGCGACTGTCAGTGTAAACTCCATGTTAAGATAAAAGATTTACCGGCATTTTTAGATATCTAGAGATTTAAAGCGCATAGTAAGCCGTTATTCAGCAATGTTTGTTTAAGTTGTTTTAAAAATGCTGTCAGTTGTCAGTAGCAGAATGCCGTCTCTTTCCCTCGCCATTTTTGGAATCCTATTTTGGGAGACGCCGTTAAACTATTTTTGGTGGTGAATTCCTCCCAGGATTATCTCAGTGGGGATAACTCAACTCCTTCTGTTCTAGACATTTATACTGTATTTTTAGGGGGAGGGTGTCAGAGAAATGGTCTATTTAACTTTGAGGAGACCAATGATTTGAATTTACTGTTGAGGTGTCCAGGGCTATAATTTATAGTATAAATACATACTCGTCTTGTGTATTGACAAAAGAATAGTTTAATATTACTGCGAAAAGCATGAAAGTGTATACTTTTACTTAGTTACCTTTCAGATTCTTTATTTATTGTCTNATTTGCATGCTAAATTTTAACATTATGTTCTCAATATGCCTGATTCCGATCTGTTAGTGTTTTGTGCATATTAGCTACGCTGGTGCTCTGACAAAGTATAATATATCTGATGTGTATTCTACTGATAACTGTCAAATAAAATCAAATTTCATTCACAGATATTTTTAAAAGGCAATCAGCTTTATTATCTGACATGCCTCCTTGAGCAGCTAGGAGGTTATTAACTATCGTGCGCTGAGCGCCCTGATTCTACTGACAGCATTTTAGCCAGTTGGACCCACCCAGCTAGTACAATGTGTGAATCTGAGGGTGCTTTCCGAGAGATTTAGATCGATCTAAAGATTAAGTTTTAGATCGACCTAACTCCCTGGGGGTTCACACTATATAGCTGTCAGCCGGGCAGACACGAAAGTTAATTACCCCCTTACAGCTTGTAGTAGGTGGGACGGACATTTAAGCCGGATTATCTGACAGTAATCTAGTGAGACTCCCCGCAGGGATAGATCGATCTAAAAATCTATGGAAATGGGGTGTAATTGTGTCCATATTTTGGCATACATATGCCCAGTGCCTATTTTGGCAGGGCACATGCACTAGCACTGTTTGTAATTAAACATATGTTCTATATCCAGAGGTGTAGATGTTATATGACAGATCAGCCTTTATGCTATTTGATTACTAGTATATATACATCTGCAAACATTCATAAATCTGCAAGTCTATCTCCATAACTATATATTATTAACACTGTGGGCCCTGTGGCCATTAATTCATGAATAAAGACTACACATACAATGACCTGAAGTTGACAAAAAGTACTGCATCTCTGAGTTGGCAACTGATGTTGTGGACGTGCTGCATCATGCACCAGATGGTCGTGTAATGTGACAAACTTGGAAGAAAATATGTGGCCATTAATATTGTTAAATATATATATGTAAACATGACGTGATTTCCCCGCTCTGAAAGTAAATCCAGTAATATTGTTGACTGCTTTGAAATGAATGTGGCAGGGAACTTTTTAGAGAAAAAACATTTATCGAAAATTAATCTTAAATAATGCCAAAAAATGTATCACAGCTACTGAGTATGTATACAGCAAACTCCAAGACCCTATTTCAATCGGGGCCGTAGCGATAGTCCGAAGGTTCAATAGTCCGAAGGTTCATTGGTCCGAATGTTCACTATAGAACCTTCGGACCAATGAACCTTTGATTAAAAAATCGATGAAAATGTTACTACTTTTCGGACCAATGAACCTTCGGACTATCGAGACGCCCCCATTTCAATCATGCATCAACAGACCTTAAAGTAACAACGAAGGGAAGCAAGATTTTCACTGTCTGCATGTGTTTAAAGAACGCCTCTTTGCTTATCATATCTGTTTCTACAAAAATATTCTCTCAATCCTTCTAATTCAGCCAAGAACTTATCTGTAGACAGGGATATATAGACTGCAATGAAAAATTCTCAAAATATGGCGTGGAGTTCAGACATTTCCTCCTCCCTTTCTCAGCTACTTGCCATTTACAAATTGAAGGGAAAATAATTTTAACTGAAACAAATACGGGAACATAACACTATAAGCATGTGCATCCCCCCCCCCCCCCCTCCCTCCCGCGCTTTCCCAGTAAATACATGTATTGACATTCACAGTGACTTGACTAGTAACTTTCTTTGGGTATATCGCTACAACAATAGGAAAATACAATAATACCATCGACCAATGATGCAATAAACATTTTTACCACATTTATTTATGTTTTTAATGATCTAAAAAACCCTTCGAAATATCAAAATAAACACAGATCGAATGCAGTTCAGAGTGAGGATTATAAGAGACCGAAAACATTCTTTCTATGAAAATAATATTAAGTCAAAATGTTTTGTAGAACACAGGGTAAATCTGGTCCACTTTCCAATGTTTATACTTACAAGTTGTGCACTTTCTGAGAGATATAGGTCAAGAGCAGGTAAGGACTAAACCTGTAGGTGCATTGACACCTGCTGTTTTCCGCGGATACGCCTCTATTTGAAAACAATAACTGGATCTACTCTATACTGAATGCAAGCACTCGTAAATATATTGATGTATCGAAAACGAGACAACTTTACGGAGAGTAAAATTGTAACGGGAAATGTGATTGGAGATTCCCAATACCCCGGATGTTCGGCCATTTTGGACTTGAGAAAGTGAAGCTTGCCACTTCCTTGTATTTCACTAAGTACCAAAAACAGCCTAAAAATGGTATGTATGCCTAATGAAGGAAACAAGTATCAGTGAACTGACTAATCAGGTTGATAAAATTAGCAGAACGTTTTGCTGGAGTCGTTAGATGTGTGTCATTCTCCCTTTATTTGTTCAGAAGCCCCTCCTCCCGGAGAGGCCGGCGACTGTCAGTGTCAACTCTTATGTTAAGATAAAAGATTTACCGGCATTTTTAGATATCTAGAGATTTAAAGCGCATAGTAAGCCGTTATTCGGCAATGTTTGTTTAAGTTGTTTTTAAAATGCTGTCAGTTGTCAGCAGCAAAATGCCGTCTCTTTCCCTCACCATTTTTGGAATCCTATTTTGGGAGAAGCCGTTTAACTATTTTTGGGGGCGAATTCCTCCCAGGATTATCTCAGTGGGGATAACCCGACTACTTCTGTTGTAGACATTTATACTGTTTTTTTTTTTTTTTTGGGGGGGGGGGGGGGGGGGGGGGGGGGGGGGGGGGGGGGGGGGGGGGGNTTTATTCTTTGTTCCAGACTGAACAGCAACTAGATTGCGCCCTGGATTTGATGAGAAGGTTGCCTCCCCAACAGATAGAAAAAAATTTAAGTGATTTAATTGACTTGGTATGTATCTGATCAACTCTGGTGGTTAAAATCTCCCTTAGTATTTGTCTCAGTGTATGCATAACAGTTTATGATGTTTCTCTGTTCACAAAAATTACAAATGCTGCATTCAGATGAAAAAAAAAGCTTTGCACTAGAAGATAAATATATTGTCATATCTTTCTGGAAATGTATTTGATACTAAAAAAAAAACAAAGATATATATACTTAAGATGTTGCATTGTTTCTTTTCCAGGTTCCAAGTCTATGTGAAGACCTGTTATCTTCAGTAGATCAGCCACTGAAAATAGCAAGGGATAAAACAGTTGGCAAAGACTATCTTCTGTGTGATTACAACAGAGATGGAGATTCTTATAGGTAGAATAGATAGTCTTTTGTTTAAAACAGGACAGCAAAGCTGGCAAATATACAGAGATCAAACAGAAAAAAAATATGGCAATATCAAGAAAAGATAGAAAAATGAAGAAATCAATTTGTGCTAGGTTTAGAATGAGTAGTTCTCTGTGTAAATAATAGAAGAGAAGAAATTTTAGAAATAGTTTCCTGAAAATACCTGACAAAGCAGAGGTTAAATAATGGTAGTAATGGTGCTGGAGATTGAAAAAGGTGGGGGTGTCATACAATTTTTTTTTTCGGGTGTGATGAATCACTTTCCTGTTTATGTAACATTATGTCAGCATTTAAAGACTCCAAAATTAGAAGGGTGACTCATCACAGTGTGATTTAATATCTATTCTCACCACTGTGTGGTTATGGTCATGAATTAATCGCACATATTTGACATTATCATATCTTTGATAATACAGTTTTATTGGTCTTTATGCTATAGGGGAGTGGGTGAGGATAACTGAAAAAGAAAATCAATTTATACGTTGTTATCTTGTTGAAAATGGAATATTATGGTAATCATTAACAAATGAACCTGCTTTGTGTATGTGTGTGTGTGTGTATGTGTGTGTGTGTTCAAAGGATGATTATGATACATTTAAAAATCAAATGTCAGAATAAGTCATGTATTTGAAATTTTTCACCAATTACCCTATATATTTATGTGAATTTCAGGTCACCATGGAGTAATGCTTATGACCCCCCTCTAGAAGATGGTGCTATGCCCTCTGATAGACTAAGGAGACTAGAAGTGGACGCTAATGCTGCCTTTGATCAGTATAGAGAAATGTAAGTACATAATGGGGGAGGGGGGGGCAAATATTAGCATATCTACCCTTACTACTCTCTTCACACTCTCCCCCCTTCTCTTTCCTTCTTTCACCCGCCCCCCCTCTCTCTCTCTCTCTCTCTCTCTCTCTCTCTCTCTCTCTGCAGTTTTCTTCAGAAAGAACTAGCAGAAGTGAAGATAATAAAGTAGCACGATTTCTTTCCTAA